CGTGAATTTGATTATTATTTGTGAGAAATTATTCATAATTTTTTGTCTATGTCCATAGTAATTGCATTATGCATCACGGAGATGTAGGGATTGACAGGTCTTACACATATTATCTGTGTTAAGGATGGAGAGGACATAATGTTTTTATTGCTTTGAAGAAATTCATTAACCCATAAATTAATAAATGATTACTGTTATGATTTAAAGGAAGATGAGGAATTGGTTGGAATGTATTTTATATTATATTTTCTTGCAAAATACAGACAAATCCACACTATTCAACAGGTATGTAGTTATAATGATAACATATAAACACTCAGTATATTGAACTTAACAAATTCAAGATTGCCATGCATTAACAAACATCCAAACCTGCTATTAAATTTAACAGCTAGAAAATCGACCTATTATTTCTCCCATTCGCATTGGCTGGGGGATAACGGATTGTTAAATGTAAATTTATAAGAGAAATCAAAATACATGAAAGTTGACCTGTTTTCTCTGTACAAAAGCATCATTTTGGAATCAAAAAGTGGTCTTGTTTATAATTTAGTCGCTTTTTCACGATTTTATTGGATATCTCAATAGAAATCACTGATATTCAGTGACCTTTGACAGCTTCCGTCAAATTGCATTTCTATAAGGTATTTTCCCATTGGTCCATAATATTAATGTTGGTGAAATTGGGGCTTAGGGATTTTTGTATGCTTTGGCGATCTTCTTTTCTCGACTTGTTCGTTGGCGATTTCCAGTAACATTTTTTGCTACATTGGTAATTCCAGGTTTGCCTTTTTTACAGTTAATGTATTTTCAAGTGCCTAGTGAAACCAGTGATCATTTCCCGAGCCAACATGCAATGGAAGTAGGAAGCTTCCTCTGTAGTCAAAAATATTGGCAAATCAAACATATCCTCCATCCTGTTTAAAGAAATTGTACAATTTCTTGCCACCAGCTGCCTATGATACTAGGCAAAAGTGTAGCCTGTGGGCTTGGTAATTTAGGAAAGGAAGCAAAAAGGAATGGAGTGAACATGTCTGTTGGTGCCGTGGTTATATCGGACAAGGTGGTGCTGCTTCTGCGTCCACCTGGTCTGTGGACCTGGCCGTAGTACTTAAAATAAAAGTCAGTTGTCTGTCACAGTTCCCGTTTTATTATAAAGACAAAAACAACCAAATATCCCCCAAAGGGCTCAATAAATGTGTTTGATCGAACTTGTTACTGTTCGAATAGTAATAAATATGTTAACGTTACCACATAGGTAGGGTAAATCGATGTGTGTAATATGTAAATCAATAAGGCCTACTATGAACAGAGGTTTTTCCGTGCAGAAACACTAATAGGAAGGGCGCTATCTTACCAGTAAGTATACCTATACTTTAGAGATTTTTTCGCGAAATCCCGTAGTGAACCGGAGTGGGAACAGATGGAATTTCCCCTTCCTCTCGAAGTTTTGACAGTTTCAAGTTCAACTGGGAGTGGTTAGATGGCGCATGTTGTGCAAAATGTTTGCTTTAAGCTCCTTGATAAACTTAGCTGCCTTGAATCTGAAATAACAAGACTGACCGTTTTGTATTGGTTCCCGTTAGTGCACTGTGCTACACCGTGGACTCGCGAAAAAATCCTTTTTATACACAAGATATTATCTAAACAATCTCTACACTTATCACTGCATTAGAGCTAATTAAGCTGTTGTTTCAGGCTTAGAAAGTCTTCTGGGCTAAAGCAAGAATAAAACACAATAATCTTAGACTAATTCCACCTGTAGTTTTCCGGCCTTCACCTGATGGTACCGTTTTCTTTCTGAGATGATGTTCAACCCTCTGAGCTGTGACTCGAGTGGGGCTCAGTTGTCTGAAGCAATTGTAGTAGGCTATGGACTAGCAGCATGCTGGACTGAGTGTTGCAAACAATATCAGAGGTAGCAGGGTAGTTAACTTTGACGGTGAAGCTTGTTAATGTGCAATTTCAGCCAGAAGGAAGAAAGCGATGAAAGATAGGCGATAGGATACAAGCTCTAATGTTAGTATCCACGAACGAACATACAAGGTTCTGTGAAATCTTTGAGGTGAAGTTAGGGAGGAGTCTACAAATCCTTAATACCAAATTTGGATGTGAAGTTTCCACACAATAAATGGAAGACTCTCCATTCCACTGTCTTATTTTTTTGACACTAAAGATTTTTCGCGAGATCCCGTAATGCGGGGGGACAGATATAATTTCCCCCTCCTCTCAAACTTTTGATAGTTTCAAGTTTCACCGGTAGCATGGCGCATGTTGTACAAATTTTTTGCTTTAAACCCCTTGATAAACTTAGCTGCCCCATTTAAATCTGAAATAAAAAGAAAGATTGTTTTTTGTCCAATGCATATCAATAAAATCAACCGTCTGATATGACAAGAGCGGTTCCTATATCTACAATGACTCCTTGGTAGTCTTCTCCCTCGTCATTTAAGATCACGCAGACCTGTTCCTCCATTTTACTGATTTATAGTTTAATAATTTCACTCAATTTTCGGCACTGCGAAGACAATTTTTCAATTGAGATGTCTGTTTTTTAAAATTCCATTGACATTAGACCTGTCACCCGCGATAATCTCACCTACTTGAGACGGTTAATCGTACCACCTGAATTTTTGACATTTGGATGACGTCACATCCGTCTTTCCCAAGGACGATCAAAAAACATACATTCTTTCATGAAATGTGTTTCTGAATATTGACATGATAAACAACAAAAAGATGTCTGCCGCTGGGAGAACGGAACTGACAGTTGTCAACTAGCATGGGCGTATCAAGGGCGGTGTAACGGAACGCGCGTTTGAAAACTATTTTTGTAGGATTTTCAAAAATTTTTAAACATTACAATGAATCTAAAAGTATGAGGTATACTGCAATGAAATAACAATTCATTCAAATGAATTGTTTATACTATCACAGAATAAAATAGGATGTTTGTAGAATAAATAATGAAATACTGTATGCGAATACTTTTTTACCCGATTATCATAATACAGATAAACATTATTGGAGTCATGTTTTATCCACCCCAACTTCCTCGAAAGAGAGGAGATTTTGTCACAGATGGGTTTGTACTAAACGGCTTAATGGATTTTGACATATGAGGTGTTGCAGTTGAAACTGAATCTCTGTTTGTTCGGCTACAGCTCAAACGGTTTGATGCATTCTCTGATAAGAGGTATGCTTCCATATTTCTTTGGATAACAGCACAATCAAATCTACATTATTTTCAGTTACTGCCATCGCGGTGATGGTTTGTTTAATAAATATACTTCTATAATACGAGAGATGTCTTTTAAGTTTTGCATATGGAAATAAAACAATAAATAAAACAGGTAGTTCTAAATGACTTTATTGTTTTTCGAAGTATTCTCCACGAAGATTAATACACATCTGCATACGCTCGAACCAATTTTCGAAGCACTTCTTCCCCGTTTTCTGGCAGATCCAAAACGGCATTTTTGAATGCGTCAACTGCTTCTTCTGGTGACTGGAACCTTTGACCACGCAGTCTGTTTTTAATTTTCGGGAAAGTAAAGAAATCGTTAGGACTTAGATCGGGACTATATGGAGGATGGACCAATAATTCCACGTTTTCTTCCATTAAATATTGCCTTGTTTTTTGAGCTGTGTACGAACTCGCATTGTTTTGTTGGAGGATGATTCTTCTTTCGGGGTTGATTTTTCGAAGCTCTGTGATGACTTTTGGCAAACAAATGGTGGTATACCAATCCGCAGTAACAGTTCTTTGCTCATTAAGAGGAATTGTTGCAATATGACCCGCTTTTGACACAAATTTCGCGACCATCTTTTTCGGAACACTTCGAGAACGGATGACTTTTGTTGGCTTTTCTTCACCTTGGAACACCCAAACAGCCGCCTGTCGTTTATTTTCTGGTTCATAACAGTAAATCCACGATTCATCACCACTAACAATGCTGTACACATTTTTCGAGTTTCCGGAATTGAAACGGTCAAACGTTTTTTGACACCAATTAACCCTGGCTGCTTTCTGCTCTTCAGTCAACAGGTGGGGTATCCAACGAGAAACTAATTTTCTTACTCCTAATTCATCATTCATCAAGTAAATTTTTTTGAATTGAGGTCTTTGAGATCTTCAAGGTCGCCTCAATCTCGCGATATGTCACATGTCTATCTTCAATGATGAGTTTGCGCACAGCATCGACGTTTTCCTGGGTGACTGCTGTTGTTGGTGCACCCGCCCTGGAATCGTCGCTAAGACTCACCCGTCCACGTTTGAATTCTCCATACCAACGGGAAATTGTCGACTGATGTGGTGCTTCGTTGCCGAAAACAGACAGTAACTCAGCAAGGCATTCTTGTTGCGATACTTGTCTCTGAAAGTTGTAATAAATTATGGCGCGAAAATGTTCTTGGTTGAGTTCCATTTTTCTAATGACTTGGTGACACTTAAAAAGTCACTGTAGTGAGAACACTGCACATATTGTTGAGAAACTTTGAATTTAAGTTTACTAAAGAGTGAGGTTAAGATTCAGTACTGACGTTCGATCCGCGCGGCCTACTATGTTTCTATGTGCAAAACTTAACACGTTCCCTGCCAACGTGCTATGAACGATTTGTTCACCATGCGCCAAAAGATCTTTTCATCCCTAATTGATGTATTAGAATAAAATAAATATGTTTTAACACTGTATATTATCTATAGTGATAATGATCCCATTTTTAGAGCTTTCGGTCAAAATGACCGACGCGGCGTGGAAGGTTAATTTGGTATCTCTGCGCCGCGTCGGTCACTACTTCGGTCACCTAACCTTTAATTTTACACGCGGTCGGAAGAATAGGGTTAGCCGGCAGAGAGGCGAGTTTGCGCTTATCTTGTAGCAGTTGATTATTAGCTGTCGGGTGTACTGCACGTCTTATTGGCTTCACAATTTTATTTCCTATTCACGAGATGTCAAACGGAAAGTATTCGTTTATTCGTAATGAAAATAAACTTACAGAAGCAGAAATGATGATCCTGCGTGATATGTCTGATGAAGACACAGACGACTCGGTCAGAGATAAAGATTTTCAACCTAGCTCAGAAGGTAATATAAAAATTATATAAATAATAATATACTAAAGCATGAATTATAGGTAGATATACAAGAATATAAAAATGATTTATTTCAGGTGAATCTTCACGAGATGATGCACAGCAGAATCGTAAAAAGGCCTCGGCAATAATGACTTATTCCAACAATCCTAGCACTTCAGAGGATGATTTTGGTGAAGCAAATACGCAGGTAAACGATGAAAATAATGACACCTGGTACTTACCCCGCGGCCAACAGATGCAATTTGGCGAGTTTCGGGAGTATTTTGGGGTAAGTCCAACGGTGATTGAAGAATTAGTACAAGGTCATCCGAAAAATTTTTACATGGCAGTGGTTGAAGATTCCATTTTCCAAATGATTGCAGACCAAACCAACATTTATGCTACTCAGCAGTTAGAAAATCATTCTAATATTTCTGCCTCGTCACGACTTCACCAATGGAACGCTACAAGTTCTGCGGAAATAAAACGTTTCTTTGGACTAATTGCTTATATGGGATTGGTGAAAATACCATATATCAAAGATTATTGGAGCAGAGATCCCATTTTCAAAACCGAGTTTGCATCCATTGTGATGCCTCGGAATCGGTTTGAAATACTGCTACGTATGATTCATTTTGCCAACAATGATGAATGCAGAGAAGGGGATCGACTACATAAAATTCAAGGCCTAGTCGATAAGCTTGTGCAGAATTTTGAGGCTCTTTATCATCCTGGGGAATCAGTGTGTGCTGACGAGTTGTTAATTCCTTTTGGGGGCAGGCTGATTATGCGTCAGTACATGAAACAAAAGCGCCATAAATATGGTATCAAATTGTTCAAGCTTTGTACAGGGCATGGATATACTTTACGTCTGAAAATATATGCTGGGAAAAATCTTGAAGTAGGAAAAACAACACCAACTAGCGTGGTTATGGAACTATGTGAATCTGTTTTGAATGTTGGCCGTACGGTTTACACAGATAACTGGTACACTAGCATCGATCTTGCTAACAAGCTTCTCGATAAAAGAACTCATTTAGTGGGAACATTGAGGAGAAATAAAAAAAATGTGCCGAAAGAAGTAACTCAAAAAAGTGAAATTAAAAGGGGTGAAATAATTTCGAAAGAGAATATCAAAGGAATTACCGTTCTCAATTGGAAGGATAAAAGGAACGTTATTATGTTATCAACCAAACACACCAATGAAACGGTTGATGTTCCGAAAAGGAACGGTGAAAGTGTTACTAAACCTAAGGTTGTAGCAGACTACAATAAGGCAAAATCGTCTGTCGATTTATCCGATCAAATGGCTGCGTATTCTTCACCTCTACGAAAAACTGTGAAATGGTACAAAAAACTGGCCATTGAGTTACTGTTATCAACAGCTTTGATAAATGCCTATATTTTATACAGGGAATGTACAGGCAATGTTATCGGTATTGTTGACTTTCGAAAAGAGGTAGTTCGATATTTGGTGTCGTGTACCGACGAGCATCAACAGTAAAACCAAATAATAATGGAACCAGAAAGACCAAAAAGAGTATGCCATAATTTGGTAAAAAAAGAAGGGAGAGCCGTTGCCGTAAGGAAACATTGCAAGGGATGCTATGAAAAAGCAGTTCAAGATGGAAAAGAGCCCAAAGAAAGAAGAAAAGTCAAGAAAGTAACCACGTTTTGTTCAGGATGTCCAAATGAACCGTTTCTGTGTCTGACGTGCTACAACAGAATACATAGAAATCTTTAAATTCATAAAATGTTCTTCATTCCAATGTTTCTGTTCATGTCATTAATCTTAAATCATATATTATAAAATAAAATTTGACAGTAAACTAACGTGTTTAATAATCTAATAAAAAATGAGAAAAACAAATCTCCAAACAGAAAAAACAAAAAGTTTTCATATGCCTTTTGCTCGTCAGGCCGTTTCGGTCACGCATTATGCATATCATGGTACAACTCCTGACCGACGGCGCTCTAGAAGCGAGTATAGAACCGTTGAAATTTTCGGTCATAATGACCAATGCAGCCTGATGACATACCACTCCTTTTGGTCATTTTGACCGAACTGGCAGGTAACGTGTTAAAAGACATCCCTCGTAGATATGTAATTGAAAAATTCGTAAGTGCTGCAGAAAAGTTCACAAGATACTATTTACACGGCAAGCGAATAGGAATCATCGTATCAATAATATACGAGGCGCGGGTCTAGTTGGGCCCCATTGTGGACACTAACGTTTGTAAAGAGAAATGGATACAAGTTGATGTGAAATTATTGGCTCTCCCGTGCATGATAATCACCAGGAAAAAAGGTGCAAATCTACCTGTCATTAGTACAACTGTATCAGTGTTAATAAGAGTACAGAGCCAGCAGAATTAAAGAGAAAAATGATTGTCATGTAGATTATTATTATTATTAAAAATTGAACTATACTGTATTATGGAAAAGTATTATTAACATTAACATATTAAATACATCAACAGAATAACTTATTGATCGTAGAGTACCAGTGGTATCCCCACTGTTACGTGACTCCTTCACCGCCATTTATACATATTGCGCTAAATTGGGATTAATACTGGAAAATAACGTCTATAACCCCTTAAAGAGCTTATTATTATTAACGTGTGGTAACAACCACATGATGAGTAGCACTGGTAGTCCAGGTTTAAAAGATGAATATCAATTAAAATTAGCATTACGTAATTAAAAACTATTTGTTCAACCTATAACAGAAAGATAATATTATTGATGACGAAATAATACTGCCTTTGTATATACACTTCTAATTCTAGTTTTCCTTGAACTATCACATTTTTCAACAGTTTCATGGTGAATTCTAAGCGAGAAATACTTTTTCAAAATAAGTTTTATTAAAAATATACAGTGTCCATCATTAGGATCGTCTTCAAAAAGGTGATCATTAAAATAACCCATAATTTGTGGTGATATTGTTTGTATAGTATTATTAACTAGGATATCTAAGAAGTATTTGATATTCTTATTGAAAATTTTAGTTGTTTTTTGGAAGTAACGGAGGTATTTTTCACCATGTCGGCAAATTTGAGCTATCGGTACTGAGGCTACTGTCAACTCTCCATAAGCTTTCCTTTTTTGTAATGGCATGGAAATATCGCCCTCCAAGATGCTCTTACAATTTATACAAGTAACACATTTTTGAAGACACTTTACCACAAACCCTGCAATATACGCAACAACATCTACGGTATAAATTGTTAGGTTCCATGCAACAGATGAGCATTGATACAAGGCTAGATCGTTTTTTATTTTCTCTTCAAACTTCACTGAGTCTTCAGCATCGTCCGCTCTGGTGATATGATATAACTGCCACAGGATAAAATAGTCAGACGATCTGAGTTAGTAATATTTCCTATTGCTGGGCCAGATATTTCTGTGTGCACCAGCAATTGTTTGTATGCCGCTTCAAATTGCCTTGCACTGGGATAATTGTTGTACCCTCCCTTACTATGAATGGCTCCAACAGCTCTAAATGGTCTTGTAATAATTTATTGGTTAAAATGTATTTTAAAACCTGCTTTTTGACAATATAGGTATTATAAAATTCCTTTAAGCTATGGACGAAGATCAGGAATCCTAAAAACCCAGTTTTTTTAGGTGATTTTAAGATTGGGAGAGTACCTATTCGTAATCCATGGATATACAGAACGGCTTCGTCCATGAATTTAAAAAATGTATCTGCAGTGGCTGGAGAAAGTGGACGATATATATATATATATATACTTCGAAAATCTGTTTCTAGAGTTGAAAATATCGAAAAGATCGTTAAATGTTAGCACAAATTTTACGGTACCTTCAACATTAGCAAAAGCTGATACTTTTAGGTCTTTCGACAAATATGCTAAAGCATCAGCAGCACTTCTACTTAAAGTTTGTGGAGCTATTTTGACCTTGTATGCTCTTGGAGAATAATAGCTCAGCGTGAGAGCAAATGACCGCAAAGCAGGGTTATACTTTTGGCTAGTACGGCCCCTCAACATTCTCTCGAAGATTTCCAAGGGAAAGCCAGAAAGAGATGCCTGAAAAGGATATTGAGTATTCAGAATGCAATTAAATCATCTGACATTGACATAACGGATATTTCAACAATGGAATTAAATTAATTCGTGTACTTTTCCTATTTCTGTCATAGCAAGTCAAATGCCCAGTTATGGTACTCGTAGATACAGGTATGTATACTTGTCATGACAAGTGTTTCTTCAAATAGATTGCAAATAATAAGATAGAATACTAATTGTATATAAATAATAATAATAAAAAGGATTATATATCTTGCAACAGTGAATGAATGATATGCCCTCCCTCAATGCAAAATTTAATCACTCTTTTCACCAGTTATGGTAAGTTCAGTGTCTATGAAAGTTTGTATACTAAAAAATGGATTATCTTTCACGCATTAATATGGATATCTTGAATTTACAGCTTTCATAATTATGTTTTTGCTTACCCTTAATGCAGTTTCAGCTGAATCTGTCAAGTTCATCTTCTGTTTCAAGAGTTTTAGCAAGCCACTCAGAGTTTTTATTCTTCTTCTCAAAGCACCAACACTAGTATGGAGGCTTTTTACTTTTTTCCTCAATGAGACTAGGGAACTTTTCATCAAGTGATAATTTGCTTTTGCTTTTCTTGTAGTGGAAAAGTCATCACTTGATAAATCCCCGACATACCGTTTTGGCCTGAAAAGGATCAATATTTCAAATAGTCGATATATTGAATAATACAAATGATTTTATCTTGATACCAAATAGATACTTAGCAGAAAATCAAGTTCTCAAATCACTCACCTTCTCTTGCACTGTGTTCCCACTTTTTGTTTGTTGAAATTTCCTCCAATTGCAAATTTTTTTTGTCTGCTACTCTAATTCAGAAGCTGTTGCAGTACTAGATGATGTGAATGACTGCAGATTTTCTAGAGGTTCTTGCACCTCAGTCGGTTCAGTCAGTTGTTTGTTGACATTTCCTCCAAATCCAAATTTTGTTGTCTGATATTCCAATTCAGAAGCTGTTGCAGTACTAGAGGATGTGAATGACTGCAGATTTTCTAAGGGTTGTTGTGTCTCAGCCAATTCATCAGCCAAGGGAATATGACTTGAACTATAGAAATTTTCCCATATAAGTAAGCGAAAGAATTGAAATCAATGGAACACTTATGCAATATGAGAGGAAGCTGGTAAGACCTGTTCTTCCATTCTCAATCTAAAAAGGGAGGTATATATATATATATAAGATACAGAGCACAAGAAAAAAAAAATCGATAAAAATTGTGAACTACCACACTTGACTGTACTTATAAACATCTATGTGAGCACACATGAAATGCACTGAGAGTGGGTGGTTTCACTGTACCAGTTTGTTGTGCTAATGATATCAACATAAACTTATTATATAAGAATAGTTCAAGGGAGTACAAAACTCTATACACTCACCGCTTTCTGACAGGGATTCCTTGAGCACTAAGTATAGGATTCTGAGCTGGATTCCTTCGATGGAGAAACTGTTACTGTTGAATCAGTGCTAGAATAAAATTGGATCTCATTTAATTTTATGCAATATATTTGATTATATTTTTGAGCACACTTATGGATAAACTGACCAAGGTAAATATTTACAGATCTAGCTCTATTATTTAACAAAAAAATGTATCAATATTAATCAATCCAGATGTATGTTATTAATATAGGTATATGAAGAAAATTGTTACATTAACTTTTTTTTAAACAAAACTTGAAAACATGACAAAGATAAATACCTTACATCCTCCCCCTCATCAAGGATAGGGCGAACATCTATTGGATCAACACCATCATTCAAAAACGTTCTTCCAGCAAGATCATATTTAAGAGCCTCGTCACGAAAATGCTTAGAGGAGAGGAACCAAATTTGAGATACTTTTTTGTGAAGGGAAAATAAAATACTTTTTGTTTTAAACAAGGTTATATATTTAAATAAACTTGCGATTTTATGCTCCTAGCATACTCTAAACTAAAAAAAATAACTATAAATGTTTTCTTTTACAGGCGAAAAGTGTATTTAAATAAAAGTAAACATTTTTGTAGATTTACAGCTGGTTCCCTAATTTGAGATAGATAGTTATCCAAATTTGAGATAGGTACCCTTATTTAAGATACTATTCGAAAAACCCCTTCCCTTCACAGAAAGTGCAAATGAAAATTTTATTGGCAATCTCTCCACAATCTTCATGTGCCCATCTACTACAATGGCTGCATTTGGCCCATTTTTCGCCCTTCTTATCTTCAGAAAATCGACCCGTACAAAATAAGCATTCAGCATCGCTTCCACCGCTTTCGTCTGAGGATAAATCATCCAACTTAAGGCTTCCGCTAGATTCTGAACTTGAACTGGAGTGGGAAGGTATCCGAATCCTTTTGGACCTTTTAGCACTAGATGTAGAAGGCTGGTTCTGGTTGATTGACCTATTAGCTCCAGATGTGGAGGGTTGATTTTGTGTGGATATGCTATTTTGGTTTAAATTAGCATCCAATTTTTTTTTGGGAATTGCTTTCATCTGTCTTTTCTCTAAGCTTGCCTGCAACTCTTTCTTATATGGCGTGTGAGTAATGACTACTGCCTTTCCTGATCTTCTGCTCACTGTATTTTGTTTTTTATATGAGGGCAAAGGACAAATATCGGTTGGAGAGACTAATTTAAATTGTATTTGTTGTTCTAAATTCGGGCTAGGTGTTCGTTGTTGCACTCTAAATTCTACAGTGTCTACGAAATTAGTGATGCTTGCAATTTCGTTTGCGATAGAAGTACTTGCATCTTGATTCACTAGATTATCACCTGTGAAATCAGCAGAAGTAGCCGCATTCTCATGTATTTGCTGTGCTGTATCATCACCTTGATGGTCTACTTCACAGGGATCTACGGTGTCAATCCGATCTTCCACCCGATGAACGCTAAAATCGGAATCTCTAAAAATATTTCTGTTGATAGGCACCAGTCCTGTTTTCCGAAATCCATTACAAGAGGTTTCCATTGTAGCAGCTCGATTGTAAGCTTTGCAAAAAATGCTAGAAATTGCATATGGGGAAACAGTACTTAGCTGATTCTCTCGAAGCCAATTCTCTATTTCCTGTGCATAGAAAGTCTTTAATGGTGACATAAACGAGACATCTAATGGTTGCATCTTGTTTGTTGAGTGTGGTGGAAGACATATTATTGCCACATGATTTTGTTTTGCTAAATCTATCAGGTCAATGTTCCTTGTGTGAGAATAATGACCATCTAATACTAAAAGAACTGGATCAGAAGCAGTAGGCTTTGTAAATTTTATAAAGTGATCTAACCATCGGGTAAAAATATCTGCCTGTACCCAACCTGATATATGGCATTCCGCAATTGCTCCATTTGGGGCTCCTAACATTAGCTCTGTTTTCATATTTTTTCTGGGGAAGATTAACAGTGGTGGTACATACACGCCTGAAGCGTTCATACAAGTAATTACTGTGACCAATTTACCCCTCTCTGCTGAAGTAAGTGATGCAATCTGCTTCTTTCCTCTAAGAGAGAGAACCTTAGTGTGCTTATGTTGAACCACAGTAATACCCGTTTCGTCTACATTGAATATCCTGTGAAAAGGATTTAGAATTTTGTTATATTCGGCCTCATATAGGTCAAAAAAGCTTGAGACTTTCTCAGGGGTGAAAGACTTTATACGAGCAGCTGACATGCCTTGTGGCGTTCTCATGGATAGCTGAGGATGTCTTTTTAGAAATAGTCGTAGCCATTTCTTTCCTGCTGATTTTTTAAGTCCATTAAAAGGATGAGATATGCTATTTCGTAACGCAAGCTGGAATTCCAAACGCTTTATATCACGCGCACGTAAGCCAAAAAATCGCTCTTCCATAGCTAATGCATATTGTACTAACTGATTTTCAAGTTCAGGGAAAAGAATAGTCTTGCGACCAATTGGTGTGTCTACAAGTTCTCTTGGATCCTTACCGGATCTAACATATCTTTCTACGGTCCCTTTAGGTACTCCAAAAACTTTTGCGGCTTTCAAATAACCCATCTCCTTATTCTTTACAGCTTCGATGGCCTTTATCATGTCATTTGGGTTCCACTTTTTGTGTTTCGGTGGCATCTGCAATATAAAAAAAATAAAAGATAATCTCTTGATACAGGGCCCTTATTTGAGATAGTCTCAAATTAGGAACACTTGGGTATCTCAAATTAGGAATTTTCCGTTAAGAAGTTCAAACAAGCATATTTAGGTTATGTAATAAAATAAAATCACAATATTGAAAAAGAAAATAAATAAGGTATTTGTAAGCTACTAAATTTATATCAGACAAGTGTTCTAAGTATCTTACCTCACTTTTAGTAATCACTTTTCTCGCACTATTAAAAATATTTTCGACTCTGAACAAGCAACAAGTTGTGATGTCTCAGCAAACCATGTGCAAAACTAGACTGTAAACACATCTAGAATACTACTGCGTCTTAGTTCAACACTTTTTGGTATTACTAGAAGATGGCGCTACATAGATTCAAAGTTACACCACTGTCTCAAATTAGGCGCCTGTCTCAAATTTGGTTCCTCTCCTCTACTGCATACACGTATCTCTTTAGTAAGTATCGTTTGGCTATCAAAGCCAAGCAGTGACATCCATACCAAGCGCTTAACTGGATCAGCTGGAAGTCTTAACTTGTAGAAACATGTCTTACAAACCACAGCATTTATGTTAGTGAGTTATCATTCTGGTGATAGTCGATCCCAAAATGTATTTGGATTAATCTTTGCATGTAACTATGCCACTGAACTTTTAAAAAATCATGATTATATGAATACTTTTCAAAGTCGACCAGCTGTACCCAGAATACTTTGAAATTGTAATATACTGTTAACAAATGTTATATATAGTCATCTAAATATGCCAGTAAGCTAAATAAGCGTACTAAAATGATGGTAAGAGACTGATGATGATACGTTTTACAGCAAAATTTTTGTAAAATGTCTGTCCACGTCCATGGCGGTAAATTTAACCTCACTTACCTGGGAATGGAATGATATATCAACAGATTCTGGATTTTTTGAGTTTATTTTGCACACGTAGCACGATCGCACCATTGTTCAACATATAATAGTTCAATATCACTAACAAAATCAGGGCGAAAAGCAAGAAAATAACGATTGAAAACGATGAAGCTGTGACGTTCGAGGTAGTCGAGAAGCTCGCGATTTAGGTACCTCTCGATCACCTAACTTATAACAGGAAGCAATGCTATAGGCCTGTAGTTGTAAGGGTCGGTCCCAGATCTCTTTTTTGGGATGGGTTAGATATGTGCTAATTTCCAGTTTTTTGGGAAGGTGCCAGATTCATAACATATCTTTAAGAGACACGAAAGAACTGGAGCAAGATCCGCTGCACACCTCTTTAGTACAATGGCAGAAATCAAGTCCCAGCCAGAAGCTTTGTTGATGTCGAGCAACAAGAGCACTCGTCTTACGGTCTGATGCCTGAACGTTACCTCCCGCTTAGTGTAAGGAACTCTTTGAATTGACGGCGCTTGGACGTTGGAGGGGACGTCCATGGTGGAGTTTGCAGCAAAGATCTTGGCAAGCACTTCCGCCTTGGCCTTTGAGTCCGATACAATCGCTTCATCCTGACACGTAAGTGGTGGAAGGCTTGTGTGTTCTCTACTGTGGGGTTTTATAAGAAGGTTCTGTGTACCTTGATCTTCTGCTGGCGAGCAGTGTCACACGATTTGTTAAACCAGCCGTCGGTTTGGGCACATTCACTGTATGAGGGATGCATTCCTCCATTTCGACGTGGATGATTTCGGTTATTGAAGAACAGACATCCGCGCATCCGCGTCAGTCAGACATATCTCCAAGGAAAGGTAGAGAAGAAGTCTCTGAGCTCCTGTCAGTCGGCATGTCCGTAATGCCAAGTTTTGCGGCCAGTGCGAGTTTCTGCTGCAACAAAGGATAGCCTCCGCAACACAGTCGTTACCCAGGAGGGACAGGACAGCAGTGCTGTGAGGGACAGGATGTGTGGTCAGAAAGAGATCCAGCAGGGTAGTGGCATGTGACGAGACGTGGGGGAAGAAGGTAAGTCCCGTCACCAGCTGGGTCAGCCCTTGAGTAAGAGCGAACGCTTCAACTGCACGACCTGCTGCATTGGTCTTGTTTGAGCCCAATCAAAGCTAATTATAGTCATTGAAATCTCCGAGGAAAACTACCTCTGAAGCGGGATGATTGATGCTCAGGAAGTCGATCTTGACGGCGAGGTATTCAAGAAGGTCATCCCAGTTATGGTCTGAGGGAGATCGATAAGGGCAGCAAATAAATGCGGCGGATGTTTTCGAGTTGAGGCGAAGCCACAGAATGTCCTTCCGGACTGATTCCAGAGAAACATCTCTGCAGCAGGAAAGACTGCTGCGGATAAAGGCCACAACTTCTCAGATTGGAGTCCACCTCGTAATTTGGGAAGCTAAGATAGTTAATCGGTGCGGACTCTGAGATTGTTGTCTCCGCCAAGAAAAGCATGGAGAAACGATTGGATTCCAAGTAGTGATGAACTGCATCAATGTTGCTGTTAATTCCGCAGATGTTCGTGAAACAAATTTTATCTTCGATGTTGTTTCCTCGAGTCCACGCTCCACCCGTACATTCCGAGAGTGGAGTGAGCATACGTTCGGAATTCTTAGTACTCGAGGGATCCATCATCATTAATTTAATTATTTATAAGACACCCTGGGAAAAGCTAGCGGGTGGTACCGCTCCGGTCGACTGGTCCTTGATAATGATAATGATATTAAATAGACCTAAGGTGGCCCGTTGGCGGACTTATACCGACCCGGCAATCGGTACTGAGGTATTCCTGAACGCGTGTACAATCACTTGAACGGGAAGTTGTATACTGGATACAACAACTTCCGGAACAAGCATTTGCCACAGCCCCGCCCAGTAGGGGTTGGGGTTTTTGAAATTCAATATAGATGTTAGAAATTTTTCAGACTTTCGTTGTCGAACTTAGGTTTATGGCATAGTTGTCATCTTCTCAGTTTTCGAATGTGTTGATCGAATGTAAAAATGTTGTAAATCCTTGAAAAAACTATATCTGCTAGATCGTAATTATTTTGATGATGCATGTTTGTACGAAACAAGTACAGGAATACAGGGCTGTACATATTTACGAGTAGTGCAGCAGCTTTGTGATTTAAACGAATTCAATATAGCTACATAAATAGAAATATACGCGGGAAGAGAGGCGGGACGTGTGGTATTAACTTTGAGCATCGATCGATACAGTTTTTGGGCAGACCACAGGCGCACCGCTATACAAATGTCATAAATATATATTTCCAATTTAGGCGTTCATCTAACATAGTGCTTCGCTGCAACACCAACCCCGAACAAAATCAGTCAAGCTTTACACACTTTTCAAATCACTGTTGAGCAACAAACAGAACATAAATCACTTTTTAAGTGCAATCTGTATAACTAATATATTACCCAGACTTATACGTATTTGTCACAAGTCACAATACTTGTATATACGTATACATCGTAAGAATTGTGCTGTAAACAAGTGATGTCAAAGAGGGACAGCATTTGGAATACCAAAGGATGCCAAAAAATCGCAATGCTCAGTTAATATAGTTATAACTTATAGTAAGTATGCCTCTGTCGCCATGATGTGTCAGAAAGTACCACAATGGGCGGCGAGTATTGTTCATTATTTGTCCTGTATGCAAGCATTATTTAGGCGTTATGGTGATCTAACGGAAGAGCTTCAGTAAGATATTTTATCTAGGAATTTTTTACCATTATATACTACCCAGCTCCCTCTTGTTCGTACCTTGGAAGAACTTGATGTCGAATGTCTTAAGCTTGAGGTTAGGATATATAGAGCTGAGTATTATGTACCTCCATCTAGAAGGCGTTAACAGTTTGTTGAGCCCGACTTTGCATTTGTGGAAACGGAAAGTCCACATCCTTCGACCTCTCGCGAACCTGAAAATGCAAATAAAGTTTCTAAGGTCTCCCAAAAAGGATTCATCGCGTGGGGTAACATTTGGAATTGCCAAAAAGTAGGACATATAAATCTCGATTCTCCTAACCCGAGGAAAACTCACTGTTATCGCTGTGGTGAACCAAATGTAACCATTGTAGTAGTGCGGGAAACGAGTCCCGGGGGAGGAATCGTTAGGCCATGCTATTTCCTCCCACTCAATATCTCTAACGGCCAACACCTTTGATTTGAAAAACAAAATTCTTCTCGATTATGTTGTTTCACATGCCCATCGTGATCATCGTCCTTACCTTAGAATAGGTATAATCGTTACCACCGAGAGTACAAGGCCTAACAACAGACGCGTGACGTCACCACGAGTAGGCCGGTCTGCCGGCCGACAGCACGGCGTGCCGTACATCAGCGCTAGTGAATAATATATTATTACAGCATATTTAATATACTCTACCTGATGTAAATAACAAATAATTCAGAAAAGTGTTTTTGGTATATGAAGGCAACTTGGTGGAAAATATTAAAGTAGTTATTAACTATTTTCACCCTGATTTTCACTGATATTTCATCCAACATTACGTGCACATTAGATTAATAAGTTGATGTTATAAAAGCTTGCTAAAAATGATAAATTCTTCAATGAATAACCCCATGTTAGTCACAACCGATCAACAAAATTTCACAGGAATATGTGGACAATTTACTATTATTAGAGGTATAATATAATGCTACTTGAAAGTTATATAAAAAATGTAGTGCTTGTAGAACAGTTGTGTCCAGCAAGAACCAACGAGGAGGTCTGAGGTAAGCTCTTGCAAGGAAAGGAACAAGGAAGATGAGGAGGAAAAAGTGTAGGATAAATGATAAGAAAAACAGATAAAAGCAAAGTAAAATAAACAACAGAAAAAACATAACAAAGATTAACGAAAACTTAATAGAAACGCTTAGAGCAAACAAATAACAGCACAAAATAATAACAAAAATTAGAAAACAGAGAACAAGTATCAAAAATAACAAAAATTAGAATAACGAAAATTACAGTGCTTAATTCTGAATATGTACAAATAAACATTTATCTACAGCTATGTAAATGTTGCGGCCTCATGTGAATGTAGTCAATTTACGGATGCGGATAAACAATGCTTGTTTTATTATCTGGAGAAAAATGTGCCATATGATCAATTTTAGAAACAGGACAGATTTGAACAACTTCTTTGAAGTGTAGAAGCTTGAAATCATAAACACATAGGCTGTTGTAGCTAATGAAGTATTATTAATTGACGTTCCAACAATATTACCCCCTTTGAAATCTAAATATGGCTGAATGTGTATTTCATCCATCAATAAAAGCATGTACTCCTCACCAGGTTTTACAAATCTGAAAAGGTTTTTTGCATAGCCTAAAAAGTTATATCTCTCATCGGGAACTGGATCGACCATCAATGTATTACATATTGACTTCAGAGTATTTTGGTGTGGTAAAATAAGTGCTCCATGGCTCCTAATAAATCTATATGAATGTGGACTGATTGTATACAACATAGAGCAAAACACTATTGTTTCTGATGAGTAACTGTGTCTGTTCTTCTGACTAATAGCAAGATTTAGTTGCTCACAAATAAATTGAATGACAGTGTGGGTCTCTTCATCGGTGAATAGTTCTGTGCTATTTAAAATATTGTAAGCATGGTTGATAGTGGCTCTGAACTGGTCTTTACCTGAATATTCCCGCGAAGCATCTGCATTCTCAGAAAGAACATGCGGAACATCATCCAAGTGGTTATATTAGATAATAAAAATGGAGTTTTAATATTACCTGAGTTGAGTAACAATTCTTGGGAGTACATTGAGATCTTTATCAACAATTACAGAGTGTGTTATGTTGGGTGCTGGTTTATATTCTAACTTAAACAAAGTAACTTTTTATCCTGAACAATTTTATGCCACCCATATGGACATTGCCATGAACTGAAAACTGTGAATAATTTTGAAAACAAGTTGATTTTTGATAGGAGGAATAATCATCAATGCAAGTTTGCAGTGCTTTAAGTAGTTGTTCTTGTTCCTTGTCCCTCAATTTCTCATCTCGGCTTCTTCTGCTTGATATGTCCTTTGAAAGGTATTTTGGACAATTTGCAAAGACACTTGGGATTACATCTGCCTTTAATTTTGGATACTTAAGGGGTACAGTAATGGTCCTACCTGTCTTTTCGTCATGGAAGGTGGATTCCCAAATGATGCTGTCCTCAGCAAAGTGCAAGTTACATACTCGGGTGTATTTTCTAACCAATAAATCACTACGAGGGAATGCATTGAGCCATCGTTTACGACAGTTTTCGTTCAATGGAAACGAAACTACGTGTACCTTCGGACCCTTCCCGTAATTACCGACACAATTAGGAACGCAGCACTTGTAAGGCATTTTGAAAACTTAGCTCAACAATCGCGAAACACAAATATAAAGGTACAAACATAGTGGAACGACGAGGCTAGAGGCATAGCGACGAGGTAAGCGACGGTATAAGCGACGTGGCAGGAGACATGCACATAGTAAGGAGACAGATTTTGCGATTTGTAGCTTTGACGTTCCAAACTTAAATCAGTATAAACAATGTTATCCGACAGTGAAGATGAAATTTTATTTGATAATGCCGCGCTTCGTGGGCTTATTGCAATGGGCGGTTTAGACAGAACTTGTTCTGTACATCCTATTAATAAGGCGCGCAAACGGTTTGATCAGTACCATACATTATTTCTTGAGCTCAAGCAGCACCCAGACCGATTTTTCGAATATTTGAGAATAAATATTGGCACTTTCAACTACATTTTGGATAAGGTTTCTCCATACCTTCAAAAAAACTGGACAAACTACAATAAACAACCTATTAAACCGGAAGAGAGATTGGTTATTACTTTAAGGTAAGTTGAATGTATAATAGCCTTGTAGAAAAACACATAACATTTATTATCAAACTCATTTAACAAAACAATCTTAAACACTGGAAAATATGAACTAAAAATAATATATTCTAACAAACATAAACTAAGAAATATGCATGTAATAAAATGCAGCACATTGTGAGGAAACGAAAATTCAGTAAGAGTTGTCGCTCTGATTGATCTGATAATCGAAGGTTTGCAACCCTTGATTCATTTGATTATTATAGCCATACGCATATCTCTGAACTAGATCTTGAACGCTATTTCTAAACTGCAAAATATTGTTGTCCGGAATTTTTTTTACGTGTGGCAGTAAACTCTTAAAAAATGCCAGATGATCATCCTCTTTGGTTTCCTCTATGTTGGCTCTCTTTATTCTGATGAATTCCAATTTCTGTTTTTCGATGGCCACTAAATCAGCAATATTATTTTTTCTTTTACGGAGTCGGCTCTTCAAAACTGTTCGGGGTTCAGCAAAATGACTTGACGTGCCTGTGGACGAGTCCTCAACATTTTCTGAAGAAACAGAAGTAGGTGTCGCTGGCTCGACGTTCAGGGTGTCTTGCATTTCGTCTATTGTTTCCGTCTCTACTCTATCATCATCAGAATTCACATCAGATTGCATGTCCGTAGCAAGCAATTCATTCTGAGAATCTACCAAATTTCCCGTTGATACTCGAGGCTTAAACTGATCTTTTAAAAATAGCAAACTTTTAAAATGTGGCCAGTGGGATTTAGTTGCAATGTCTCCTGGATCTCCTGACCGTGGAATCGGAATTTTTTTCAGTTCCCTTCGAAAATAATCCCTTAAATTTTTCCATTTGGCTTGAGCCGCCTTCACTGAAAAGATAAATTGTAATTCAGTTACGAAAAGTAATAATTTTTACATTGATTTTCGCTGTCAAAAGTGGTTTATTTCAACATTAGTGTTGAAATAGAATATCAGTGCTAAAATGAGGTAACTAGTATTAAAATAGGTTTCTATTTAACACAGTCGAATCAATGTCACGAACTAAAATTTATTTTTTCTGTACTGAATTATGAAAACAATTTGAATGAAACACGATACAAAGCAGCTTGCTTTTTGCACAAGATCTACATGTATAGTGCAGAAAACAAGTTTAGTTTGCAAATAGTTACATAATCAAATAGCGATTTTGTACTTCAATTACTGAAACAAATCTTTTTGACATTGTCTTAGTATATTTTAACACTAGTGTTAAAATAGAACACCATACAAAATAGCTCTTAATCATTGTGTTTTACACATGTCGTGATGAACCACTTCCTATACTCTCGTTTATCAATCTTCACATCTAGTGCTAAAAAAGTAAATACACGCTCATTTTTCAAATTGTTACAGCTATTTAGCTATTGAGCTATAACTGATGTTTCCATTGCAGATATTTAGCTACAGGAGAATCTTTCAAAAGCTTATCATTCACTTTTCGCATGGGAGCTACAACGGTTGGCTCAATCGTTAAAGAAATTGTTAACGCTATATGGAATATATTACAGCCAATACACATGCCAGTTCCAACACAGGATGATTTCATTAAAATTAGTGAGGATTACATGAACATCTGGAATTTTCCCAACTGTCTAGGTGCCTTGGACGGGAAGCACGTAAAAATCAAATGTCCCAGCCATTCAGGAAGTATGTTTTTTAATTATAAAAAATTCTTTTCGATCGTTCTTCAAGCAGTCTGCGATGCAAATTATCGATTTACTGTAATAGAGGTATGAGGATATGGACGACAATCCGATGGGGGCACCTTTCAAAGTTCTGCTTTGTTTGAACTACATTCAAAGAAACAATTAAATGTACCAACTGAACAGTGTCTACCACATACGCAAATTTGCATGCCATTTGTTTTCATTGCCGATGAAGCATATCCACTACAAGAAAACTTGCTTAAACCATATAATAGACAAACTCTTAATCCTGAAATGCTGTACTTTAACCAGCGATTGTCTAGAGCAAGAAAGACGATTGAATGTTCATTTGGTATAATGTATGCAAAATGGAGAATATTATCCAAAGCCATAGAAACAGACGAACAACTCGCCGACATTATAATCAAGTCAATTTGTATTTTACATAATGTTATCATGGATAAAGAGGGCTTCGAAAGGCATTTGACATTAATCACAGAAAGTGCTGCAAACAACAATTTTGCCAGACCAAATTGGAACGCAAGAGGTCGAATTCCCAATCAAGCAATTTTTATACGTGACACATTTAAAGATTACCTAAATACTTTCCCTGTGCAATATCAATGACTCTGTGTAAATATATGTTACTTAAATTTACTTGCCTTATTTCACATTCTGTAGCTACTTCTGCCCAAAGTTCATCTAATACATAGCGATTTCTATGATCTGGATGAGAAGCATTCCATAATGCACCCCTCTTGAACACGGAGATTATTACATTGACTTGCTCTGCCATTTTGTATGTAATAAACACTGTATACGTCACTTTACTTGTCAAAACTTGAAAAGAATTCAGCTAAAGTGTATCTAACGAAGCTACAAAGTAATCGTAAACAGTGGTTGATTCGTGATCAACGCGTGATCGGTAGCCATGGCGCTCTGTCGGCCTCTTCCTGATTGGCTTGTAGCGACGAGCCTCCAGACAAAGTCGCACGGTTGCCACGCTCGGCGAGTTTTCGCCAGAGTGGTTGATCACATTCGCATGGATCACAAATCAATCTGTTGGTGCAATACGTGCAATAACTGTTGTAAAGGACATTATATAACAATAAATGGCATCACAAAGGTATATTCCAATTTGATCTGCAGCAAATTATGAACGGCATATACGGAGATGCGAAAACAAGCTCAAAAAGGTGAAGAACATTTTTGTGCAATCTTGATAGTTAAATTTTTCCTAAGAGATAGCATCAGTGAGGGAATTTTTTTCTATTGTCTTATTTTTCACATTAATGCGATGTCGAGGTATGTGGCCCTATCGCAATTGAAAATAAGGTTTCGATAATCCTTCCATAAAGTTTCGATGAGTACATCTGAAATAACCTTGAGATATTCGTCAGGGAAATACAAAAATCTCCTTTTGTGTTTTTTTGTACAGATTTATCTATTAAAATCCTATCCGCAATCTATTTTCCGTGCACACACCTTCAACCGAATGTATGCCATATATGATATTACCGTTTCCAACTTTCACCAAGGTTAATAGGAACCATAACAGCTCCCTACCTTTCCCCCCTATAAGAATATCGATTTGTAGCCTCACATTTCAAGGTTAGACTTCTTGTAATGTTTCTGTTCAACATTCGGCGATTTCTGACAATTTTCCCAATAAAACATGATCATTGTGACATTAAGCCTGGCAACGCTGCATAGTAGAGGGAACTCTCAGCGTCACGTTGATGGTTCGTCACCACGCACAGGATTGTAATCAGTTACGGATACCCGTTTATGAGCGCGAACGTTTTATGCACGTCTTGACTTGATTTTTCTTGCGGAAATTTAATATTAGTCTAAAATGTCTGACACAGATACAGCTGATGAAGTGGTTGAAATCAGCTTAACGCCACCCAGAAAAAGTGCTAAAAAGCTTCATCTTAGCGCAGGTGAAAAACAAATTATTCTAAATATCTACAAGAACCAGATGCAAGAGAATAGTGGATTGGCTATAGAAAATATCGTATGTAAGGTTGCTGAAATTTCTGGAGTAGGTCGATCAAGTGTTTACAAATCTTGAAGGAATATAGACAAAATCACTCGCTATCTGAGCCAAAAATATATCCAGCGAGAAAAAAAATCATCGAAAAAATAGATGACTTTGACAAAAGTGCCATTAGAAGAAAAGTACATCACTTTTTCTTCAGGAATGAAATACCTACAATAGATAAAATATTGAAGCAAGTGAATGATGATGAGGACCTGCCAAATTTTAAAAGATCTACGTTCCATAAGCTGTTGAAAGAACTAGACTTTCGATTTTTGAAAAGAGGAAGGAATAGTTTATTGATAGAAAAGGAGGAAATTGTTATCTGGGGGAGAGAATACCTTAGAAAACTTAGGCAATTCCGCGCTGAAGGAAGAAAAATTTATTATTTAGACGAAACATGGGTCAACGCGGGGCATATGCAGGGAAAGGTTTGGGTAGACAGATCTGTGAGGTCCTCAAGGCAGGCTTTTTTAGATGGCCTTTCGACGGGATTGAAAAATCCTGCAGGTAAGTTTCGAAGTATATGAACTTTTTTGGATGCAGATAATTCATTTTCTGATCGAATCAATGATTTGGAAGCTCCGAACTCAGTTTTGCTATCTCATCCAAGTTTCTGAGTATTTCCTTCACCCAAAAACTAATCTAAGACCCTATCCTACACTAACCTAAAAAGAGTAAGTTGCTTAATTTCGTCATTTAGTGCGCTCGCTGAGAAGTAAAATAACTAATTACTTTCAGGCAAGGGAAAACGCCTGATCATTTGCCACATAGGTAGCGTAGATGGATTTGTTCCTGAAGCATTGTGGGCATTTGAATCCAAAAAAACTGGAGACTATCACGAAGAAATGGATGGTAACTCATTTGAAAATTGGTTCAAAAAAATTTTGCCGACACTTGATGATAACGCAATTATTGTGATGGATAATGCCCCGTACCACTCAATTGGAAAAAATTCCAACAATGGCCACCA